ATGTTTTATGGGCTATTTTCTGTTTGACTCTCCGTATTTTCATAGCTAGACCGGTCATCGGTCCAGAAATTAATGTAATGTTTACAAACACTTTTTTTCTACACGAAGTTTTTGACGCAATTTTACAAAAAAATGAGACGAAAGACATATGATTTTCATTGGATTAATTGAAAGATATATGTAAACAGTTTCAGAAAAGGTATTATTTGAAGTGATTGAAATTCTACTTTTGGCCAAATTTTGGGGAAATATGTGATATCTTTTCCCCCCTTTTTGCTATATTTTATAACAAAAAATTGCAGATTGTTGCCATGGATACACCAAAAAGAAATTATATTTTACCATTTTATATACTGGATATGAAATCTATGGAAGATTCTGATTACATACATATGCACATATATGACACAAACAGTAAGCTTAATATTGCAAGAAGGCAATGAAAAGGGGATGGTAAAATTTATGAGGGGAAATTTTAATATTTTTTCCTAACTGTTTATTGCTACCTTATGGCATATTTACCAAGCTCAGAATTGTATAATTTAAGACTTTTCATACCACAAATATATTGATATTTAGATTCTAAATCAACTTCTGAGGGGATTAAGTGTTTAAGAATGACAATACATGTCAATTTTATTGTTTACAGTCCTTAGCAACCAAAATTAGACATTTTGACACAAGGCTTATAATTGTACTCTATTTGCTAAACCCTTGCTTCTGAAGGATTGCACAGTATGTAGTAGCCTAAGTATTGAATGTTTTGTATTTTTTCTTGCGAATATATCAATTCATTATTTTTATCAAGATTTCATGTTACATTTTGACATATATTAAATGTATAGTTGATTCAGCTGTAAGAAATTGATTCCCCATTACCAAGTTTTTTAATCAAGTCTTTGGTATACATTAAACATAAAGATTAACATTTTCATGCTTGAAATTGTTAAATTTTGTACAATTTTGCATCATCAGAGGTCTTATAAAGATTTTCAACATTAAAAAACTGACAAAAGAGGTATAGTTTTTAAGATTTTGCCAAAAATTGATGTCGAAACAATATTTTACACTTTGACTTGGCACCTTTCTTTAAATCAGTTTTTGTCGCGTTTCAGTGTCAACTGCTAACCTTCATAAAATATTCATTACTCAACCAATTTTCAAAAATAAAAGGCCATTTTACTTGTTTTAGCTAGCAGAACACAGAAAATTAGTTAAAAGGGAGAATTTGAAAAAAATATTTACTATTAACTTAAGGTAGCAATACACAGTTAGGAGTTTGGTTTCGCATTTTGGCCCCGGTGGATTTTTCAAATATGAAAGTTATTGTGTAATAAAATTCATTTTTAGACAGCTGAGTACTAATTTAGCCTTCAAAGGTGGTTTATAAGAACATCAAGATTATTTTTTACATGTTTTATGGGCTATTTTCTGTTTGACTCTCCGTATTTTCATAGCTAGACCGGTCATCGGTCCAGAAATTAATGTAATGTTTACAAACACTTTTTTTCTACACGAAGTTTTTGACGCAATTTTACAAAAAAATGAGACGAAAGACATATGATTTTCATTGGATTAATTGAAAGATATATGTAAACAGTTTCAGAAAAGGTATTATTTGAAGTGATTGAAATTCTACTTTTGGCCAAATTTTGGGGAAATATGTGATATCTTTTCCCCCCTTTTTGCTATATTTTATAACAAAAAATTGCAGATTGTTGCCATGGATACACCAAAAAGAAATTATATTTTACCATTTTATATACTGGATATGAAATCTATGGAAGATTCTGATTACATACATATGCACATATATGACACAAACAGTAAGCTTAATTTTGCAAGAAGGCAATGAAAAGGGGATGGTAAAATTTATGAGGGGAAATTTTAATATTTTTTCCTAACTGTTTATTGCTACCTTATGGCATATTTACCAAGCTCAGAATTGTATAATTTAAGACTTTTCATACCACAAATATATTGATATTTAGATTCTAAATCAACTTCTGAGGGGATTAAGTGTTTAAGAATGACAATACATGTCAATTTTATTGTTTACAGTCCTTAGCAACCAAAATTAGACATTTTGACACAAGGCTTATAATTGTACTCTATTTGCTAAACCCTTGCTTCTGAAGGATTGCACAGTATGTAGTTTATTTTGGTCTCATAAAACATCTCAAATTTTAAGGATTTCCAGGATTTTACTTAAATCAATCCAAATATTCTACAGGAATACTTGGTTTTGAAGAATATCTTATTTTCAGAAGTTTTATGAATACCCGAACAGACGCGAGTTAAGTCTACAAAGAATCATCAGTGACGCTCGAATAAAAAAAGTTAAAAAGGCCAAATAAAATACAAAGCTAAGTAATCTATTCCTTGGGTAGAAAATCCTTAGCATTTCGAAAATGTCAAAGTTTATAATAGGACAGTGACTCAAAAAAGAAAACAAAAGAGAAACAGCTAGAGGTCAGAATACCGTAAGTAATGATGACCGTGCTTGAAAGTAACATGTCAAGCTCTTACTGCCGAGTCCTGAATTTAGATAAGAAAAGCGAAAATTCGCATTCACGAGTGAAATTAATGTTTATGCATGCACGTGGTATTTTTTGCGCAAGAAGTAGTAAATAGAAAGCAATCGCACAGATACTCTGGATAAGAATACGCATTTGTGTCATCACATATATTAATCTAATAGTTGAATTCGGATGTCAACTACCTATCTCAAGTGTTTTAACTCCGGATTCATCTACTTTTATCCGGAATTTTTGTGAACGCAAACCGATAGTGTGCGTGTGAACAGGGTGATGTATAATGTGAATGAATCAAGACGTGTAGGATAGCTGGTCAACACAATGAATACAATTTTCAAAATCGTACCATAGTATACAAATATTTAGATGCTATCAGGTTGAACTATTAAAACAAACAAACAAACAAAAATAAAATTCTATAATTAACATACATTCCTGTTAGTGAATTATTTTTGAAAATTTAGAATATTATATCAATAAACACAAACGTCAAGTATTTACGGATGGACATTTTATTTATGAAATCAATATCTTTGTAAAGTCTAACACTCCACTATATGAATATAATTATTGCTGTACAAAACATAAACAGAGACTTATAAATCCATACTAAAACAGTATAAAATATTTACATTTTGATAGTAATTAAATTTTGTTATGATTATTGTAAAATATTAATTACGATTTTTGTGAGATGCAAGGATTTACTTGAAGTCCTTGTGAATTTAAACCATTGTGGTGACGTCAGCCTATTCATTTACCGTGGATTCTTTTTCTAGAATCAACGCTTCCTAAATCTGCCGCTGAAATTGACTCACCAAATTATATTCAATTGTTTCCTTTGTGTGCCTAATTTCATTAAGTTTGAATTGGCTAATTTACTGATTTCTGTTCACTAATGGAATTAATTTAAAAACTTACCTTTAATTTTTGTAATTTTTATATGCCTTCACTGGGAATCGAACCCTTCCTTGAAATCTGTTATGTGTGACTGACATCAACACATCCACGAAACCTCTCGGCTACCAATGGGCTACACTATAGATGTCTATTTTATATATTTAAATGAACATCTGATATACATCGGTTCATCGGACACACAGGGCTTGTACCTTTGTATAGACACAATAGGCAGTCGTATAGTATGAGTTGGTAGCCGCGAGGTTAGCATGGTTAAAATCAATGAGTTAAAGATAGGGATTTGTCGGTTTAGGTTCGAATCCCTGTATTCTCTCTGTTGTTCCAATTCTTAAGTTACCCTGGTTTTTTTTCTAAGTTTGCATGTTACAGTGGATATTTTTGTAATAATAGCGAGTTTTACCGTTTTTTTTAATTATTATTGGCTATTTCACATGTTTGAAACAAAAATTATTACATTTTATTTGTCAATTTTTGTTTTATAAATATAGTATGATTTCATCTGTTTTACTACATAATTTTGCAAAGGTTTGTTCGCAAATTCCTATGCGAGAAAATCGTGATGTGCCTAGAGTGCTAGAAAAATTTCGATAACATACTTATTATATATACTTTATATACGCTTTTTGGTCGGGTTGTTGTCTCTTTGACACGTTCCCCATTTCCATTTTCAATTTTATTAGAAATAATTTCGAATATGTCTTATTTTGTATAAACAGATAATATTCATATGCCTGGTAATATAAAGATCTTTAAAGGTAGAAGTGTTATATTTGTATTTTGTTAACCAATTAATTGTGATCTGAGATTTATCAATGCATCGTTGGACACGATAACATGGTTATTTAAACTCACTTACAATACCTTCTAATTAAGAAAAGGCTTTAATTTTGAAAAGAAATTAACACAATAGTTTAAGTTATAGATACAATGGATAAGCGTAGATTCATGAAAAACAAACCATTTGCCCTCCGGGCTCGTGGTTTCTTTTTCAAGAATCCACGCTTATCCATTGTATCTATATAACTGAAACCATGCAAGTATTTTTTCATTCACGATCGACCGTTTAAAATTTAGATATTTAGCTAACTTTGGGTACGCATCCCTGCTCATTGGTGCTCATACTTTGCATATAATTTTCATAAATGTAATGACTGTTCAAACCTGTGAGACAAAATGCACGTATATATGACCATTTTAATTATATTCTATTATAAGAATAAATTCAGTCTCAGTTTAAACTGAATAAGATTATTATCTTGGTCTTGTACGTAGTATCTATTAACGAAATATAGATAGTTTTGACAGAAAAATCCTTTTGTTTGATTATATTTCTGCTTTCCGACCACTGTGGTTCCGACCAAAGATAATAAGACCAACAACGGTCCTGAATACCCTCCATAGAAAACTAAAGATTCCAAAACACAAACATCATCAAAAACCTTGAACTTGGGTTCTTCATTTGGTTTTACAGGACTTGCTCAACTATATGGGTGCATACCCTTGTATTTCTCATAGAAGAAAAATACATACAAATAAAACAAATTAACAGCCATACATATATTTCATGCATATTCATAACAATAAACAGAGAACTACTTAACAGCCATACATATATTTCATGCATAAGCATAACAATAAACAAAGGAGAACTACTTAACAGCCATACATATATTTCATGCATATTCAAGACCATATACAGAGAAGAACTACATAACAGCCATTATAAATAAGAAGATGTGGTATGAGTGCCAATGAGACAACTCTCTATCAAGTCACAATCGATAAAAAGTTGACAATTATAGGTCGAAGTGCGGCCTTCATCACAGAGCCTTGGCTCACACCGAACAGCAAGCAATACATATATTTCATGCATATTCATAACAATATACAGGGGATAACTACTTAACAGCCATGCATATATTTCATGCATATTCATCACAATAAACAGAGGAGAACTTCTTAACAGCCATACATATATTTCATGCATATTCATTACCATATACAGAGCATTATTTCATGCATATGCAGGATATTATACAGAGGAGAAATACTCAATTAACACTTGCGATACAAAGAAATACAAGTTGTTCAATAATGACTATGGACTACTAGGCACACACACATTTATGTTCTCTCCCTTCAAACATCATACAATCAACTCTCTAACTGCCAACTGGAAGTATTACGTTTTTATAAATTTGACTATGATGTTTCAAAGATTTTCCGGTTGGAACCGGTGTAGAGCTGAATAACTTGGTGGTGGTGTAGATTGTTTAACCGAATGTTGATTAGTTGTACCATAGTCCCTGCATGCATCTGCATAAGGAGGAGGCGGGTAATTCAGTCTTGTTGCTAAAAATAGAATAAAAATATATGGTAATAATAATAATAAATAACGATAAATAATAATGAAAATAAAAAATAAATAATAATAATGATAATAAATAATACTGAAAATAAAAAATAAATAATAATAATAATGAAAATGAAAAAAATAAAAAAAGAATAATAATAATAATAATAATAATAATAATAATAATAATAATAATAATAATAAAACATTAATATAAATAATAGTAACAATTAATAATTATAGAAATCAAAATAGAAGTAATGATATAAAGTCTGACACTAGAGTGGAACCACCTAGCCGCCCCAACATAATAACCGCTTCCCATACTGAAAAGTGCTTACTAAAATTTCTGTAATACAGAAGCGTATTAGGGATACAACAAAAATTCGGAACTTTGAAGTCGAGATTTCGACATTTGAAATTATGAAATGTTTAATTTAACTGGAACTTTCAACCTTTAGTCTTGGACTTTTAAGTCATGAAATTTTCAACCATTTTTAACTCAAAATTTCAACGATAAAGTCTAAATATTTGCTTTTAGAATTTTTTTTTCTGCTAAATAATCAAAGATTTGTCTTCTTTTCAAATCTTTAAAATGTTGACCTGACTTTAAAAAAATAGTCATTTGCAATGAGTGGACATAAAGAAATCGTCGAGATTAAATTGAACATATGTAAATTTTTTGATTCTATGGAATCTCGACTGATGCCACTGACTTCTTCGTGATTGAATCAATGCTTTGTAGAAGTTTTAATGGATTGACGGACTGACTGAACTGTTTGCTCAGCGTATGATGTCGCTGTATATGAATATTTTCAAGATAATTTGGATAATTTAATTAGTTCCCACTTTTGTATTTTTTGCAAATTTTATAAAACATACATATCACCTACTTATAAACAGCAGACAACATTAACAGACAACACATCTAAGATTGCGAGTTATGTGGACGCATACTCAGTGAAACATTGACTATAAACATCAGACAACATATCTTAGATGGCGAGTCCTGTGGACGCATACTCAGTGAAACATTGACTATAAACATCAGACAACATATCTAAGATGGCGAGTCATGTGGACGCATGCTCAGTGAAGCATTGACTATAAACATCATACTACATATCTAAGATTGCGAGTTATGTTCACGCATGCTCAGTGAAACATTGACTATAAACATCAGACAACATATCTAAGATTGCAAGTCCTGTGGATGCATGCTCAGTGAAACATTGACTATAAACATTATAACGCAGAAAATTGTCATCTTATTACGCAGAAGAAGTTCAACAGAAGAGAATACAACATTTTATTTTTTTTCAAATGAGTTATGAACAGATAACCTTATTACATAGAAAAGATCATCGAAAGAAAATAGAAAAAAAAATAAACCTGTTTTTTTTAATGAGCTAGAACCAGAACATACATGTAGTAAACGCAGGTGGTTTGTTCCGTTCGTAAGTTTAATTTAATGAAATGTGCTCTTAAATATATCATATTTCCATTTTTTCATGTGCCATACCCAATTTATAACTTTTAATATTAATATATATATAAGCTCCTCAACCAAAACATTAAGCTCTCAAGCTTATGAGCGTTATCAGGAGAAAGAGGAACCAATACCTAAAGCTCTCTCTCAAGCTTGAGAGCGATATCAGGAGAAAGAAGAACCTATACCTAAAGCTCTCTTTCAAGCTTGAGAGCGATATCAGGAGACAGAGGAACCAATACCTAAATCTCTCTCTCAAGCTTGAGAGCGATATCAGAAGACAGAGGAACCAATACCTAAAGCTCTCTCTCAAGCTTGAGAGCGATATCAGGAGAAAGAGGAACCAATACATAAAGCTCTCTCTCAAGCTTGAGAGCGATATCAGGAGAAAGAGGAACCAATACATAAATCTCTCTCTCAAGCTTGAGAGCGATATCAGGAGAAAGAGGAACCAATACATAAAGCTCTCTCTCAAGCTTGAGAGCGATATCATGAAAAAAAGGAATCAATACATAAAGCTTGAGAGCAATATCAGGAGAAAGAGGAACCAATACATAAAGCTCTCTCTGAAGCTTGAGAGCGATATCAGGAGAAAGTGGAACCAATACCTTAAGCTCTCTCTCAAGCTTGAGAGCGAGATCAGGAGAAAGAGGAACCAATACATAAAGCTCTCTCTGAAGTTTGAGAGCGATATCAGGAGAAAGTGGAACCAATACCTTAAGCTCTCTCTCAAGCTTGAGAGCGAGATCAGGAGAAAGAGGAACCAATACATAAAGCTCTCAAGCTTGAGAGCGATATCAGGAGAAAGAGGAACCAATAATATAAAGCTCTCACACTTGAGAGAGATTTCAGGAGATAGAGGAACCAATAACATCAAGCTCTCAGGCATGTGAGCGATATTAGGAGAAAGAGGTAACCAATACCGAAAGCTCTCACGCTTGAGGTAGCAATACACAGTTAGGAGTTTGGTTTCGCATTTTGGCCCCGGTGGATTTTTCAAATATGAAAGTTATTGTGTAATAAAATTCATTTTTAGACAGCTGAGTACTAATTTAGCCTTCAAAGGTGGTTTATAAGAACATCAAGATTATTTTTTACATGTTTTATGGGCTATTTTCTGTTTGACTCTCCGTATTTTCATAGCTAGACCGGTCATCGGTCCAGAAATTAATGTAATGTTTACAAACACTTTTTTTCTACACGAAGTTTTTGACGCAATTTTACAAAAAAATGAGACGAAAGACATATGATTTTCATTGGATTAATTGAAAGATATATGTAAACAGTTTCAGAAAAGGTATTATTTGAAGTGATTGAAATTCTACTTTTGGCCAAATTTTGGGGAAATATGTGATATCTTTTCCCCCCTTTTTGCTATATTTTATAACAAAAAATTGCAGATTGTTGCCATGGATACACCAAAAAGAAATTATATTTTACCATTTTATATACTGGATATGAAATCTATGGAAGATTCTGATTACATACATATGCACATATATGACACAAACAGTAAGCTTAATATTGCAAGAAGGCAATGAAAAGGGGATGGTAAAATTTATGAGGGGAAATTTTAATATTTTTTCCTAACTGTTTATTGCTACCTTATGGCATATTTACCAAGCTCAGAATTGTATAATTTAAGACTTTTCATACCACAAATATATTGATATTTAGATTCTAAATCAACTTCTGAGGGGATTAAGTGTTTAAGAATGACAATACATGTCAATTTTATTGTTTACAGTCCTTAGCAACCAAAATTAGACATTTTGACACAAGGCTTATAATTGTACTCTATTTGCTAAACCCTTGCTTCTGAAGGATTGCACAGTATGTAGTAGCCTAAGTATTGAATGTTTTGTATTTTTTCTTGCGAATATATCAATTCATTATTTTTATCAAGATTTCATGTTACATTTTGACATATATTAAATGTATAGTTGATTCAGCTGTAAGAAATTGATTCCCCATTACCAAGTTTTTTAATCAAGTCTTTGGTATACATTAAACATAAAGATTAACATTTTCATGCTTGAAATTGTTAAATTTTGTACAATTTTGCATCATCAGAGGTCTTATAAAGATTTTCAACATTAAAAAACTGACAAAAGAGGTATAGTTTTTAAGATTTTGCCAAAAATTGATGTCGAAACAATATTTTACACTTTGACTTGGCACCTTTCTTTAAATCAGTTTTTGTCGCGTTTCAGTGTCAACTGCTAACCTTCATAAAATATTCATTACTCAACCTTCATAAAATATTCATTACTCAACCAATTTTCAAAAATAAAAGGCCATTTTACTTGTTTTAGCTAGCAGAACACAGAAAATTAGTTAAAAGGGAGAATTTGAAAAAAATATTTACTATTAAGGTAGCAATACACAGTTAGGAGTTTTGTTTCGCATTTTGGCCCCGGTGGATTTTTCAAATATGAAAGTTATTGTGTAATAAAATTCATTTTTAGACAGCTGAGTACTAATTTAGCCTTCAAAGGTGGTTTATAAGAACATCAAGATTATTTTTTACATGTTTTATGGGCTATTTTCTGTTTGACTCTCCGTATTTTCATAGCTAGACCGGTCATCGGTCCAGAAATTAATGTAATGCTTACAAACACTTTTTTTCTACACGAAGTTTTTGACGCAATTTTACAAAAAAATGAGACGAAAGACATATGATTTTCATTGGATTAATTGAAAGATATATTCAAACAGTTTCAGAAAAGGTATTATTTGAAGTGATTGAAATTCTACTTTTGGCCAAATTTTGGGGAAATATGTGATATCTTTTCCCCCCTTTTTGCTACATTTTATAACAAAAAATTGCAGATTGTTGCCATGGATACACCAAAAAGAAATTATATTTTACCATTTTATATACTGGATATGAAATCTATGGAAGATTCTGATTACATACATATGCACATATATGACACAAACAGTAAGCTTAATATTGCAAGAAGGCAATGAAAAGGGGATGGTAAAATTTATGAGGGGAAATTTTAATATTTTTTCCTAACTGTTTATTGCTACCTTATGGCATATTTACCAAGCTCAGAATTGTATAATTTAAGACTTTTCATACCACAAATATATTGATATTTAGATTCTAAATCAACTTCTGAGGGGATTAAGTGTTTAAGAATGACAATACATGTCAATTTTATTGTTTACAGTCCTTAGCAACCAAAATTAGACATTTTGACACAAGGCTTATAATTGTACTCTATTTGCTAAACCCTTGCTTCTGAAGGATTGCACAGTATGTAGTAGCCTAAGTATTGAATGTTTTGTATTTTTTCTTGCGAATATATCAATTCATTATTTTTATCAAGATTTCATGTTACATTTTGACATATATTAAATGTATAGTTGATTCAGCTGTAAGAAATTGATTCCCCATTACCAAGTTTTTCAATCAAGTCTTTGGTATACATTAAACATAAAGATTAACATTTTCATGCTTGAAATTGTTAAATTTTGTACAATTTTGCATCATCAGAGGTC